GCAGGGGCTGGGATCAATCCTGAGGCCATCTCTGGAGATGCTGAGCATATTTATTTCTCAGGGGATGCAGCAGGAGCTGAGGGGAAGGAGAACCTGGCAGATTTAGGGCACTGGATCCAACACAGACCTCTGGATGTGCCAGGTCCCACGGGGGCAGCAGGACACAGGAGCCCCCAGCAGCTTGGCAAGGGGAGCAATTGCAAACATGCACAGTGTGATCCCGGGGGGCAGAAACAGCCCAGGTCCCGAGCACAGGGAGGGGAATCCTCAAACACAGACACTGAGCATCTGCAGGGCTCAAAACACAATGGGAGCCAACAGGGACTGAGAGCAGAGTGTGTGGGTGCTGCAGAAAACTGGAGGGTGATAAGAAACAGGGGAAAAAAGCTCCAGTTTGATGTGTTTAATACTGTTTGTCCTTACCACACTGACTGGCTTCTTCTCTTGGCCATTGGTTGAAAAGGCATTTCCACATTAACCATTGTGTGCTTTTTAGTTAAGATAGGAGCGTCTCCACTATTGCTGCCACAGAAGGTGCAAGCAAAGATGGATTTCACATTAAGATTGGAAACACCTGTGTTTGATGTCAGGAAAAACACTATCAAGAAAAATCTTCTAACAAATGAGGTCAGTTATTCTCTCCAAAAACACTGGCAATGCAATGGTCATGGTGGAGTCATTGTTTCTAAACACAGAATATATGAGATTAAAATTCAAAATATTCTGGTTTCAGGCTCTCTTGCTACCTTCTTCCACAGCCTAGTGGAAAACCCATTTGTATCACAATGTCTTCATAGTGCAGAAGGTCCCCACTGCTCTGACACAGGTGTCTGGAGATATCCTCAAGCAGCTAGTAGGGAAAAAAAACTTTTTTCACAAGCTGGTGAGGGATTCCTAATTGCTACTGAAAATATTTTCAAAGCAGCAGATCAGCCAGCAGTCCCAGCTCCATCCCAGAGGCAAACACAATTTATTTGTCATGTTTCAACAATTTTTCTGCTGTTCATACAGTGTAATTAATCACTTGGCAGGCAGGGGAACACACAGAGGACTGAAAAGACAGCTCATTCTTTGATATGCAGTGATCATCCTGTACTTTGGGAAGAGACAAACTCACTCTTATTTACAGATGGGAACAGAAAAAAAAAGGTATGTGGCAATTCAATACAGCACCAGTTAATAAGAAACAGCTTTGATTGAAACAAGGACCCTGCCATTATTGTTCCTTACAACATGCTCTTCCACTGGGTTTGCACATGTGGCTTCTGGCCATCGATTCCAGATGAAAAGGCAACAACTGACGTGGGAAAACGGCCTGTCCCTTCACAAGGAACACTCAGAAATGTCCTGTTAGCTGATGGTGAGAGGCTCCAAGATCCATCACTCAACCCCCTCTTCTGTCACCTATTGGGGTGGTCTCAATTCAGGCTCCCTTCAAATCTGAACAGCCAAAATCCACCAGGTGAAGAGCTGCCAAAGGAGCTCCTGTTCTGATTCCCATTGCCCCAAACTTGGGTGCTCAGACAGAAGAGCCCTAGACCCACACCAGTGCTTCCCAGGGCCTGCAGTGCAAACCTTGGCCCGGGAGCTGCAGATGCAGCCAGCCCAGCTCCCTGTGAGTCCTGTGGCCAGTGCTCCAGCTGGCTGCCTGCCCGGGAAGGCTCCGAGCCAGCCAGTTGGAAATTCGAGACACAGGCACTCTGCTTTGTTGGAGCTGCCTCAATCTGGGCCTGCCTTTTCACACACAAGCTTCAGCTGTGGACTCTGTGTTGGTTACCATCTCCAAAAGGCTATCCAAGGCCTCTGAAGTGCTACTAGATGCTTGCTACAAAGCAAACTGGACTAGGGAGACTTTTGTCTCCCTTCAGTGTGAAGCCAAAACAAGAGTTGAGGCCATAGCAGCAAACACTGGGAAAGGAATTTGGGACTGACAAATTGGCTTCTGGCAAATTCTGAGTATTTCTATTACCTCTCTAAAGGCTGTGAGAGACAGAAATTATACTAATGAACAGCACTTGACTGAAGCAGTGCCTCAAATGGAGCACAATTCAGACTTTAACCAAATCAACAGACTCAACTCACAGACAGACAGAAAAGGTTTATTTCTATGTCCCAAAGCCGAAGGGCTCTAGAGCTGCCATCTCCTAACTGCAATCCCATCCTCCTAAGCTTCTTTGGACCAGCTGCTTCAGGTCCAAAGAGAAAGCAGTCTGCAGCCTGAATCAATGCTGATGGAAGTCAGTGGGACATCCTGTAGTAACCCATAGAAGTTACACTCTTTATGTTCTGCATATCACACCTTAACAGCCTTGAGCTCAAAGGCAGAGCTCTCCATCTGCCTGTGGTATCACTCACACAGCCACTCAATACAGGCCATGAACAACCTTCCATGGAATGGCCCTTACATTTTGAATTGCATACACAACAGGATTTTTCTTCTGCCTTTTTTTTTTTTGACAAAGTTTTCAGACGTTAAAAGCTTGTTGGCTTTTGCTCTTTGTTTACACTGAAGAAAAACAAAAAGTAAAATCAGACCATTTAAAAAGTGTCAAATGAGATGCCCCGAGCTCCTGGTATCAAGGGGTTTTATGTATCCCTTTAAATTAATTGCACTCGGTTGATTTTAATTAAAGGCTGGAGGCTTGGCAGTTTCTTCTTCCCAATTTGACTCAACATATGCAAAGAGCTGGACCAGTTCAGCACTTCACAGTGGCTCCTGCCACTTCATCTCACCTCTTGGAATTACCTTTGCCTCTTCTGTTTGCTGCCTTTGGGCTTCAGAAAGCTACAATGTAGGGAGGGGGCTCTGGGGAGGGGAAGCAAAAGTGAAAGCAGAGGACAGGGGAAACTTCCTTTCAAGTCATCAGTGCAGAGACAGCATAACAATGAACCAGCTCAGCACCTGCCTTTGTGTAAGCACAGCCCCTTGGGTGGAATAAAAAAAGATGCATTTCCTTTTAAAGTATCTATTTGTACCATCAGAGCAGTCGTGTCCTTCTGCTGCCTGGGAATTTGAGTGCACCTGAGAATTAGAGAGACATGCAAAGGGCATACTGGGCTGAAAATCAGATTAGACAGGTAACTACCATTTGTGCCGATGGGAGCTGCCCACAAACGTGATTACAGCACTAGGAATTCACACTCATTAAGGTCTGGGAGATGCAAGGACAGTGTAGGTGTTTGCCATATACTCTTCTTTGGGAACGGGGAACAAACGCCATGAACGGTGACAGCCTCAAATCCACCGACCCTCAGCTCTCCTCTGCTTCATCAGCCAGAAAATTCCAAGATCCTGCCACAGCAGAGGATCCTCGGGGCGGGAGCAGAGGCTGCTCACGCCCTTTCCCAGTCCTTAGCTGACATCTAGCGAACACTTTCCAAACTGCACCTGGAGATGGGAGGTGGAACCAGCCCCTCCGGAGAGCAGCGGGACAGAAGAGCTGTGGGATAAGTGTGGGATGTACAACAGTGCACACCATTCCCTGTTCTGCCCCACCACGACAGCTCACCTGGCCTGGCAGGTGTGGAAGGAGCTGGTTCTGCTCCCGGGCTGCACAAATCCCACACTGGCTCTATTAAAGTGGACAAACACTGCTGCAGGACCCCACTGCAGTGGTGCCATCTCCTGCAGGGACCATCCAGGGGGCTGGTGGACATCAGGAGTGACCAGCACGGCTTCCAGCACAGCAGGGTCAGACCAGCTCTTCCTGAACAGGGAGGGTCACCCTCTGCCCCCTCCCTCTCCAGAGGCACAAATCCAGCACTCAAATGGGAAACTCAGCAGCTGTTACCAGGATTAGCAACTGCAATTCCAACCCTCAGGCTCTCCTGGAGGATGAATGGCAGAAGAGCTGCAGTTTGCAGAGTTTTGCAGTTTGTCTTCAAGAGCTCTCCCCAGCACATCTTGGCATGACAGCAGATGTGAAATCTCTAAGGAATACAGACCCAACTGTCGCCTGCATTGTAAGAGTGTCAGAACCAGCCTGACACATCTGCATAGCAACAGGGGAACATTGACTGTGCAGAGCCTGTTTGCATTTTATAGCCTCTATCAGCTGCTGCAAACCAAGGAGTTTGGTTTGTGGCATCTATTAAAGTAACCAAGCAACAGCATGGTGGGTATCTGTCATCAGGTACAAAAACCAGGGGTTTGGAAACAAGCAGAGTGGTGATGGGCACTGAGGTGCAGGAAATGTCTCTGTAATTTTTGTATGGACAGTGAAACCAACTGCAGCTCACCAGCACACTTATCACATCCTTCCTCAACACGTGAGAATTGTCCCCACACTTCACTACCTGTGAAGGTAAAATGCTTTTCCTGTTGATTTCTGTATCATTTGCAGTCTGTAGAACCACTAACACACAATCCTTCTCTGAATGCTCGATGCCAACTGCACCTTTAATCTTTACATGGGTGGAGGTGATTAAAACCAAAGTAAAGTGAAGAAGGGACAAAGAGATGCTAAAAGAAAAACTTAGCAGTGCTTTACTTCTTAGACTGCACAGATAATGACAAATTCAGGATACAAATTAGGGCCTTTAATGGTTTAAAAATATGCTACACCCACCAGCCAAAATACTAGCAAAGATTTCCAATGGTGTATTGTTTCTGCTGTCCAACAGCTGCTGAGGCCCTGTTTATTATCTGCAGAAGGTCCCTAAGGACTTGTTCACCTACAAAGTTTGACTGATTAAATTATATACAAACCAGTGTTTTCCACTTGTGAGGCGCCAGGGAGCTTGTACAGGATCTCCCTTCACAGCCAGATGAATACTGAGGCTTGTAAGAGGAGCATTACCTAAATGCTAAATACTTTCCCACCAGTTAACCCGTGTTAAATGCAGCTAAACAGGATGGATGGCTTGCTGACAGCCATGCACCTAGGGAGGAAAAGTCAATAGGCCAAGTAAAACAACAACATTTGCAATGATCCAACTACACATCACTCCAGAGGCTTCCTCAGCCCACTAACACGAGACAGGAACAGTGCTTCTCTTACCTGGTAATAGTAATCAACATATTGTGGCTGGTAGTGCTGGGGCTCTGAGTTTTCAGGAGACAGGACATCTTTTAGTAACTCTTCACAGCCTGGCAAAGAGAAACAAGAGGAAATGGTCAGGCCAAGAGCTTATCTTCGATTACATGGACAATGGAGGAAGAAACACTGGTTTCTAGCCAATCTGTATGCACAAAACCCTGGAAGGCAGCTTTGGGATTTATTTAAATAGGTGTAACACAACTCTGCCTTCAGAGTTCTGCCCAGCACACATTCAACATGTGGAACTTGAAAAGTGCAATTATCTCAGCATGGATACACTAGCCTGCAATGAAACTGAAAGCTGAGCATGGCTTGGCTTGGTGAAATACCCCGTGGGGCACCAGCCCACCTCTAACCAAACCCTAGAGTCAAACACTGCATTTGCAGCTTGGCATGAGCTACCAACTACTGCACATCAGCGTCAGGTGGAGCTGCTTCTAATTTTCTCTGGTCAAAATGACAAAGGGACAATGCCTAAGTGTCACAAATTCCCCTTCAAAAAAACCTCTGTCACAGAGTGTTTCTCAAGCAAGTATCTATGCACTGCAACGAGAGACCTGAAGCTTGTGTGTTTGCTTTTGTTAAACAACCACATTAAGAGCTGGAAAAATCAATATCTGTGTTTCCCTCGGTCCTTCTCTCATCTGACAACCTGAGACAAATATAGAAACACTGAAATCACCAGATGCCTCATTCCTCATTAATTACCAGTGACTGCACTTGTCAGGGTGAGCTGCAGAAGGCAGCAATGTCAGGCCAGGTTATTTCAGAGCACTCAGCTCACAGCCTTGGGCCCAGACTGTGTGAAACCTCAGCATTGTTGTGCACTATCCTACCTGGAAGCTGCCATTGTCCAGCAGTTATTCCTCCCTTCCATCCCAGCACTAATGCAATATATTTGACATTTACACATGGATCCCAAAGCAGGTGAGCCAGAGGAAACGGGGATGGAAGGAAGTGTGAACTGAACAGGTTTATACCATTAGCTGACCTTCTCTCCTGGTTTTACATGAAGGAATAACATCTGTAGGGATGAAGACATGTTGTGGTTATGGAGAGGAGTCCCTTGCAAAGGAAAGGAGTGCTTTAGAAACCAGGAAAAATGACCAGATGGAGAAGCCTAACAGGGGGATGGATCACTGTGCTGTCCCTGTCTGCCACACACAGGTACATGTTGAGGCAGCACCTGCTGGATGGAGACATCACTAGGACTTCAGAAATGTCACATGGACAAAGGCAGCAAGATTTTTTTTTCCTTTTTCAGCTTCTGCAGCAAAGTGAGGGTCTCAGGTGGTAGTGAGCAGATAAATGAGGATAAATGAAGCTGTTAAATACCCACTTTGCCGGAGAAGTGAGTGGGAAAGAATGTGTGGTAGGGTCACTTCCCAAAGAGGAGTTTATCTGGGTTTAAAAATCAAAAACATAATCTACTGTTTGACAGAGGGAAGATGTTAAACTTGTTTGCCTGGAGAGAGCATCTTTCTATATAACTTGCCCTACCTGTAACTGTCACATTTCCCACCCAGCCATAATCCTTTTCTTCCTCTTGGTTTTAGCTTAAAGTGTTGCCTAAGGTTATTTGCTAGTCCTCTCACAGAGGAAAATTCAATTAATTTTTTCTACCTTTTGACATTAACAACTAAAGCTTATTGCTCATCAAACTGCCTTGTGCCAGCACCCACTGTGAGACTCATCACATGTATGAACTGCTTTGCTAAAAGGTCTCTGCATGAGGTGGGGCAACCACTCCTTAAAGTGAATTACCTCCAGCAAGAAAGGAAAATAAATACCAAGTGCTACACAGTAATGGATGCAGGTTAGTGTAATGAACAGATAATGTTTACAATGTTCTAAAATTTCTCAACAACAATAGTTTACACCATAATTCCAGGCTTTACTTAATACAGTTGTGCTAACAACAGCGCTCTCCCAATTTTCTTTTTTTTTTAGTGGGGAAAAGTCACAAAAGTTGTGGGTCTTCAAAGAAGGATTTAACTGCCCAAAACAAGGGTGTGAGAAATGTTTTACCTTATCTCCTTTCAAAAGGCCAGCCAGACTGGTCTGTTAGAGCTAGAGTGACACACAGCTCCCAGATCTCCAGGGTCTGAAATGTAGAGTCTTCTGTGCCCCCTCTTTGCTGTTCATTTCTTATCTAAGATTACTCCTGATCACATTCTTTCATTTCCCTTGTCCATTAGGGGGGGCCACTTTATGACAGCTCTTGACCTATCATTTATTCAGTAAAAACACTGGGGAGAAAAGCAATGCCTCCTTTGCATCCAAGGACTCAGTGCAGCCATCACCACTTCTTCACCAGAGCACCTGACCCAGGCTTCTACAGAGCCTGGCCAAGCACCAAACCCATTTCCAGAACATCAGCAGCCATTTGATCCCATTTGATTACCAAACCCCGTAGCTTAAAATGGCAAACAAAGCCAAATCTTGCTTTTATTGTAGTCACAGGCCAAGTTTCCATTGGTGCTGCAGATTCAGGGGGTAAGTTCAGCTGAGCCAGTCTCCTTCTGCCAGGGTGAGTTTCAGTGGGGAGGTGTCTGGGTGTGCAGCAGGCAGGATCCCCTGTGCCCTGCTCTGCATGCAAGCTGGCCTCACAGCCTGGCTCTGCTCATCCTCCTGGGAGATTTGCATGTGATTATATTCCATTAAAAAGGGAAGAAGAGGAGGAAATGCTGAGAGACCATTTTCCTCTGAGATTACTAAACCACACCACCACTACCTTGCAGACAGCTGAACCTGTTCCAACATCCAGCAAATCAATGAAAAAATATCCAATGGTTTCAAGTGTCTCAAGATTGTGCCATTTTTTTATCCCTGTTAGAAACTGAGTTTTAAGAATAAGTTCTCTGTTCTCCTCTTCCCTGTGAGGACACAAATTGGAATCTCTTCACTCTGGAGGATGGATGCTGAAGGTCTTTTCCTTGGTCCTCCTTTCACCCCTTCTCATCAGGAAGGTGATGCACAGTCAGGTGATGAATCAGCTTTCTTATTCAGTGTTTTTCTGCAACAGTGCCAATACAATCTCACTTTTTGCTCCCCTCATCTAAATATAATTTGAATTTTTCAGGTACTCCAGGAGGGTTACACAATGGTGTAACATAAAGAGAGAACACTGGAGTGTCTCCAATGCTGTGCTATGTGTGCTCTCATTACCTAGGACATGTTTTTATTAGAACACATCCTGGGAAGTGCAGGGAGCTAAATTAGTGTGTCACAGGCCAGACAGAAAACAACAACAAATCAAGGTTTGCTTTGGCAAATCTCAATATGGAAATAGGAAGGTACTGGATAAAGATTTGTTCTTTGCTAGCAGAACCACTCCTGAGCAGAACCCCATGCACTGAGTCTGCAGAACTGCCATGGTGGATGTTTCAAGCTGTGCAGCAGTGTGCACCCAAGGCTAGAATCTGTCCAAAAATATCCCATTGCAATGAAGCAAAGGAATAATTCCTGGTTACTTTAAAGGCCTCTTGCACTAGAGATGTCCTATTATTGTTATAAATTCATTTTCCTGGAAAAGGTAGAACTGAAAGCCACTTACATGGCTGATTAGAGATATTTCATTTAGATGTCTACCTGTACCATAAGATATTAATGTGCTCAATGTTCTCTCTCCTTTGCTGCAGTTGGGAAAATTTCATCTACATTTCTGGGCAGCACTTGGCAAGAAGATCTATCTGCACTGCAATAACAGTGAGGAAGCAGAGAGAGGAAAGAGCAAGGCAGGAACAGCTCCAGGTCCTTGTGCAGCCCCTGCTGCAGCTCCACTGAGGGCTGCCCTGTATGGAGACACGGAGTGAAGGCTGTGCTCAGAGTAAATCACTGTGACACAGATGGCAGCAAGCTTGTGGCTGGAGAAAGGACTAAAAAACAATCAGATCACAAAATGAGAGTGGCCACAAGCTGCTGAAATTTCTTTCCTGGCTAGAAACACCTGATGAGCCAGCACAGAAGCAGCTTCTCTGTCCACTCAAGAGACTTTGAAATACGAGTTCTAGTTTAACAAAGCACTGAGTCTCTCTCTAGTCTGGTCTGACAAAATTATCTGAGTTAAAAATATTTATCCTAATACTACAAATGCAAAAGCAAACACAATTCACTTGGCCAGAACAGGGTCATCTCCAGTACTAAGTAAAGAGGATGAAAGTAATTTACAAGACACTGAAGCGGAAGACATGAACCTTTAACTTTTTCAGTTCACTCAGGTGCTAGACATGATATGCCTTATGAGATAATTTTAAGAATTTACAATCAGTTTTATTTAAAAATGGTTTTCCCACTCTAATAAAAATTCAATTTGCAAACAGACATTCTGGCCACATATAAACTCAATTTTAGCAAAGCTGTTTCCTGCAAATGCTCCAAGAAGGAGATTTAACCCACAACACATCAGACAATTTTCACAGGGAATTAAGCAATTTTAATGCTATAGGAAATCAAATCTGGTTACTAATTGAATGTAGTTGGTTTCTGGCATTTTTCCTAACTGCAAGAGCTTTTCACTTTATCTGCCCTTGGATCTTTAGTGGTGTATTAGACTCATTTATGGTTTCAGAATATATTTAGTGAAATTTAGTGAAGTCTTAGAAAACTCTCAAGTACTTTCAGGAGCAGCCAATTTCAATCCATTGAGCAGCTATAAGTAATTAATTCCAGGCGAGCTCAGCTCTTCACACTCGCTGACAGTCCCTGTCCCTGGAGCATCCCAAGCACCACCCCTGTCAGTAAATTATTCTTACCAGAACAGAGAGATCCATCAGATCAGCTCCAGCTACAGACTCACTGCAGTTTGAGATCCACAGCTACAAACCTAAATGGGTTCATGTAGACTTTGGGGTTTTCTGATGTGCTTTACTGGAATTCCCATGCTGCTGCAGCTGTCCTGGTCCTAGATATTATAGGTAAATAAACTCCCTTTTACATGACTGCAACACACCCATCTCTTACTCCACGCTGGATCTTCAGGGCACAGCTGGCACAACACTCTTCTCAGCTATGGGACTGCAAATTAGATTTTTTAATTAGTTGAAGGAGATGGCCAAAACTTGGCACTGGTTTTGTGAGAAATATGTTGGCTTGGAGCATCTGAATGGAACTATAAAAGCTATTAAGAAAAAAATAATCTCCAGTGAAGCAGAAGGCCAAATATTCTGCTTTAGAAAACTTTGTTTTGAAAAAAACACCATCAAATTTCATACTCTATTATTTTCGTATTATTTCACAGTCCAAATAACCTGTCACAGTCTGAGCTAGCAGAACTGCCAACATCCCTTTTGGAACATTTCTTTGAAACGTTGGGTAAATTTGTATTCTTGGAACTTTCATTAAAAAGTGCTAGGAACTCACAGAGAAACATATCTACTTTTTAACTTTTAGGTGCTTATATATAAGCTTGCTTCTAGAAACTTTTCAACCAACTGCAGTAATGAGATGCCTCAGGATCTAGGGAAGCACAGAGATGGATTTTTGAAGGCACATAATGGTCTGTGTTACTATTTTGAAGATTCAAAGGTTGCTATTGCTGCAGGTGGGGAAGTGTATAAATTCACAGCTGTGCCTCTTCCATACTGTTAATGAATATAAAGGAGATCCTACAATTCTCCATTTTTAAATTTCATAACCAAGCATAACTAAAATGTCCTTAAAACTTCTACAACATGAAGGAAAGACTCCCTTGCTCCAGGAGACAACAGGCTGTATGATTTCATCTCAAAAACCAGTGATTCTGCTAAAGCACAGAGATTCAGAAATGCAGAGATGCTCTGTGCTGAGGTGGCTCAGTCTCTCCCGTTATAAAAAGCCACGACCCTCCAAACACTGCACAGCAGTCAGCACTGTTTTCATGGCTAAAATAAGCTATAAAGTCAGAACACATCTGCCTTTGTATTTCAATTCTGTATTTATCTGCGTTCATGCAGTAGCCTCTTATCACTGTGAGCTGTAACACCGAGGGCAGCAGGGGGAGCTCCCCCTTTATTTGTCAGGGTTTGGGTACTTCTAAGCAGAATATCAAAGTAAAGAGATAGGAAAGACAACAGGAATCTTAGAATACAAGGAACAGGTCAGACTCAAAGCCTGGTCCTGCAAACACATCTGACTGTGGAACCCACCAGCCTGCAGAGACAGGGAATTAACAGCTCCACTCAAGCCTTTAAGTATTACAAGTGGCAGAAAATATTTACTGGATCAGTACAATATAAATTCAGAGCAGCAAAAACACTCATTGGCTCTGCTGAGCAAACAGTAATAGTTCTCATGCTGACCCTGCTGAAATTAATGGGAATTCAGCCTTTGAGAGATATTCTGGCTGCTCTCAGTGTCTCTGAGCAGTGCCACAAAGCACTTAGGCAAGAGGCTACAGGTGTTATTTCATGGCAATTGCTCTACAGGCAGACAGTTATTAAAGCCCTGCAGGCAGCAGATAGAGAGGGCAGCTTGAGCATAAGTAAAACCTTCATACTCTGGCATTCCAATGAAATTGCTGCAAAGCTTTAGATTTGATGGCAAGCCTATCCCTGGCTCTGGCAAAGCCTAATTGCATGGGGAAAGCAGCCTGGACAGCAGGGACTCAGCACAGATGCTGAGGCAAAGTCCTTTAATCCACAAAAGACCAGCAGACAAAGCAAAGCTCTCCATAAATAGCAAGCACCACACCTGCCCAGTGTTCCACCCCAGAGACACAGGGGGAAGGAGCTCCTGCAGCACCTCCTGCCCTCCAGCATGCTCACCTCACTTACACAAATCTCCTCCACCACTTCCCAAGGTCCCACTGTCAGTGAGAGTGCTCATCCTTACCCACAGCTCCTGCTACTCAGCAGCTGCAGGAAATGAACTGTTTTCCACAGGTACATGACCCATATGTCATGAGGTTTATGCAGCTCCAGGAGGAAACAAGGCTTGATGTCCATTTGTAGAGGAACACAACACTTCTCATGTGTGCCATGCAAGAGTAAACAATGCCCTGGTTTATGGAGGAGAGAGGCCAAGCTGCAGAGTTTAGATCCAGGGGCAGGAGTTTCTCTATCAACCGGTTACAGAGCATTAAACACTTAGATGTTTGGGATTTTTTCAAATTCCAGTATTTAGCTTGTCACAGAAATCCAACCCTGGATATGAAATGCTCAAATCAACATCATCAGAGGTCAGCTCTGATTTGATGTTGGTTCTGATTTGAACCTGTTGCTCTTAGATGTCTGAAACCTCATGATTTAAATAAATTCAAGGCACTGAACCACCAAAAAACCTTGACACTATATCACCTCTGTGCAGCAAACAATTTCATCACCATACTGTAAAGGCAAGCATCTTTAGGACAAATTAATTTGAAATCCCATAAATAAGAAATATAGTAAGGCATTAGGATTGTAAAGCTTGAATTTAAAACATTTGGCTTGCATGGCTAAGAATAGCATAACTTCATACTCTATTACTGAAAACCCCAGTGGATTTATAGTAGCATCTCATTTTGCTCTATTAATCTGACTGCCCCAAGCAATTGTAATAGGCTGAGATGTCAAAGAATCATATTTATAATCTGTTGCTGCCAAGACAAATTGCTTTTGTTTGATAATAAGCCTGCTACTCCCCTTGGGATGTGGCTGCACTAAAACAACATGGTGGAGGCTTTCCATTCTGAAAGGCAGGCATGCCCTTTCTGAACTTTAACATAACCAATTCAATTTTTAAGGAAAATATGGCAGGTAGCCAAGGATGAATAAAGTTTCCATGCTGTGAGGTGAGCAATAGAAGCAGCTTTTCTAAAGAGATGCTGTGAAAACATGCAGCACAGTGTCTTATCAGAAATAGATACAGCTGCTGCTGCTTGGATGATAAACACTTAGCAGTGAGTCTGTGGAAGTGCTGAAATGCTAATGATGTGCTAAGGGAGCTCTAGGTGATGCTGCAGCACTGGGTGATTTCTCTGCATCTGTTCACAGCTACATCCTAACAACCATCACACAATGATCTGAACCCTGGGCTTTAAGCTGCTGATAAACTTGGAGTGCAAGGTTCACCAGTTTGTCCTGGTCACATCTTTGCAGGATTAAACCTTAGGATATGAACACAAGAATTAGGTCCCACAAGGTGAGCAAGGATGAAAACCCCAAGGCCTCCTGACTGATAACTCAATATTCTCACACTGTCCCCACAGTAAAGGAGATGGAGCTGCCCAGTCCACCACTGAGAGTACATGGACAAGGGCACAGTTACTACAGAAGAGATGTTCTGGGTCATTTCTATGCCTTCCTGATCATATTTTGTGCAATCTTTAGACTGTGAATTACAGAAGACACCAGATGATTTACAGAGCTTGTGTCTTAAACTAGAACTCAGTTTGCTACAGCATTTTCTGCTCAAGGAAAACCCCAAGCAGAGACTTTAGGGTCTGGGCACAAATGGAATAACTTTCCTCCTGGGCTTTTTATTGCCTTCTCTTCAAACACATAGTGTCACCTTGGATGATGTCTCCAAAAATATTGATGAGAGCAGCTTCTCACTGCAATTTTACCTAATTATACACTGTCTTTGGCTGCCACAAACTTTAATTAAAAGTACTGTGGTTTTATGTTTTTGCATCATTATAGCTTTATAATAATCTCATCATAGCAGACTCTCCAGAGGCTCCTCCTGGAACCACACCACCATCACTGGGACATTCACCCTGTCCTCAAGTGAAGCCTCTGGGCTGTGACATCCCTCCAACACTTTAGAAAGGACACACCACGTGTCCAGAAAAGATGGATTATTTCACTATGGGAAGTTAGAAAAGTAATCAGCAGCAAATCAGCTGAAGTCCCTCCTCACTGGTTTTTGTTGCCTTTAGGCTAAGCTCTAAAGCATAAAAATGTCAAGGACTGTTTCCTTGGAAAGGAGGTGGTTGGATCCACCTGATCTTAATCTTCAGGGTTTGCATCACCAACCTGTAATTAACTTATTTCCTTCCAATACATGACCCTAAGTATCCTAACAACATGGATTAATTATACCTTTCAGATGCGTCAAGAGGAATTTAACATTCTCCTAGTAGAGAACTGAAAGCCCAAGGGCTCCCTAACTCCCTGAGGTAAAGCAGTGGCAGAACCAGATCAGAATCTGGAAGTATCAAACCTGAGCCCTGTCTGTTAACCACAAAGCTACTCTTTATTCTGCTGTATTTGTCTTTAAACCACAACACATTTATTCTGATAAAAATTAGCAGTAAGCCAATGTCCAAGCACCTATGGATGCAGGAACACTAGCACTGCTTACCATTAATGCATGATGAGATGCAAAAAAAGGAAAAATATCCTGGCTCTGTTCCCAGAGCTGCTGTACTGTCACTACAAATAACCAGAGTTAAAAGAGAGGATGTCTTTGATCATTACATTTTCTGCAACCAGAGAAACATTAGGGGAACTGAACAAGATTATTTTTAAGAAATATGCACATACCTTTGATTGCAAAAACTCCGTGACAGAAGTCCTTAAAATTGATTCTTCCCAAATCATTCGGGTCCAAGTACTTTGCCAGTTTTTCCACCTAAAATAAAAGATGATAAAATATGTGTTGAGTCTGGTGTATAGTCTGTTGCTCTGATACAGTCTGTATCTTCTACAGACGACTACAAGTTGAAGAACACTCACACTGTTCACTTGAACCACCCAATAAATGGTTCTGCAAGGAGAAATCATGTCTTGTATGACCTTGGTGCTGACCAAGGCATGTGCTCTGACCAAAACTTCTTCAGCTGGGACACATCAATCCTGTCCTATGGGGATCTCAAGAGCTTAATAAGGGGAGAATCTGTGACTTGTCCTCTTACCATAGAGCAGGGTGCTGACAGAATCTTCTCTGGCAGCTCTTGCCATGCATTCAGCTCAGAGGAACTTAAAACCTTGGTGGTTCTCCACCCCTCTATCACAAGTTCTCAGGGAAGGAGAAAGGACAGACCAAGATGTGCACAGTCCATAGCAGTCTCGTTTCCTAAATAATCTGGATTATAGGAGAGGAAACCCATTGGGCACTTGGAATGAAACCAAACTTCCTTGACACAGCAGAGAATATCATTTTTGTATAGGAAAATTAACAGTATGAAAATATACTCATGTGATGAGAGAATAGTTGTGTCTAGTACACTGTCACAGACACATTTTGTGAAAAATCCTTTCCTTAGGATTTTTTTTCTCCTGAGAAGCTGAGAGGCCTCAGGAACAAAATGTAAACAATGGTTATCTGTTGCTGTGGAATGCAACAGGTGCATCTGTGATTGGTCTCATGTGGTTGTTTCTAATTAATGCCCAATCATAGTCCAGACGGCTCAGACTCTCTGTCCGAGACAGAAAACTTTGTTATCATTCTTTCTTTTTCTATTCTTAGCTAGCCTTCTGATGAAATCCTTTCTTCTATTCTTTTAGTATAGTTTTAATATAATATATATCATAAAATAATAAATCAAGCCTTCTGAAACATGGAGTCAGATCCTCGTCTCTTCCCTCATCCTAAGGCCCCTGTGAACACGGTCACAGTACCCTGTGCAAAAAAGCAATGTACTTACTCCTCATAATCTCAGCTTCACAGTTTAGTCTCTCTGATCATTATTCACCAATAGAATGACAATATACTGAATTTAAACACAGTCACCAAATTAATACTTGCCCCAAAAATGGTCTGGCAAATTTTTCAGGAAGGTTTTGGGATAGAGGAAGAAAAGCAGCCTAGACTGGAGAGGCTCTTGTGCTGTCTAGAAAAAAAAAGGAATGGAGGAACAAGTAGCCAAAGAAGAATAAAGCGAGAAGCATACCAGTCCAGGGAGGTGAGTGCACACCTGGACCCACAGCTGGCTGCTCTTTCTGACAGCCACTCTGCTGGAGCTTGTGTACATCCCCTTGTGTGCCAGCACCTTGCAGGGACCCTCAGTGAGGCAGAGGCAGCCCCTCACTGCTCCTGAGAGCTCACAGGCAGCTCCACACAGCCCTGCCCTCGGCTGGGCCCCCCAGACACTGAGGGGTTTGAGCAAGCTGAGTGCAGGGACAGCAGGCACAGAATCCTGCTGCAGCACTGTGTGAGCTCGGATATGTCAGCCTGAGCAGCAACAAAAGCCCAGCTGCAAAGACGCAGCAAATGAATCCACATGACCTAGTTTCTCAATTTTCTGGTGTGGCTTTTTCCCACGTGCTAGCAAAACCCCAGCAGCTTCCCAAAGCCCTGCAGATAATTCACTCGTGTGTGCGCATCACACTTCTTCTTACAGGCAGTTCTCAGAGCCTATAAATTCCCTCTGCACCAACAACTGCTATGATAAGCCAAAGGGCTCATTTAGAACATGCAAATCTGGATGAAAAAAAAGAAAAAAAATTTTACTCATTTGCAAAATTCTATATTGAATGAGAAAGGCACAATTTGATCCTTAAATTAAATCCTTTCCCCTCTCATTTTCCTAGGGAAAGTAAAAAATCAGCTTGTATAGGCAGGGCAAGTAAGGAGCTACATGATGAGTTCAGAGCCCATGACAAGTTAGACATTTTCTGAAAACTTTCATATTGCAGAGCTCCAGTCCTGCCAGCTGGGCAACAGAGCCCAAATGTCGACTATGCTGTGACTCATGATCAAATTTCCACCCTGGCATCACAGGGAATTACTGTAACCCCACTAATTTAGAGCACCAGAACACACATCTGTGTTTCCAAAAAAAAAAAGCTGCTTCACCAGAAACAGCAGTGTGTGGTTAATGTACCCCAGACTACCTGAAAATCCTGACTGAAACCAATTAAGTAGAGACATGCTTGATATGGAAAATCCAGGTTGGTGTTATCCCTGTCACCTTCACAAACAACAATTGTGTTTTAAATTTTAATGCACAGATTCCTGCAGCCAGTTGGGAAGCCTCAAGTCTATTTAATATTGTGCTATAACAAGTGGTGTCACTGGGTGCTCCCAGTGAATCTGACAATTTAAGATTATTTCTCAAAGTTGATCCAATAATTTTTGTCCACCAGCTGCTCAGACATTTAAAATTACACTTTTAAAATCAAATTAAATGAGATGTTATATGCCTGGGAGTGTGTATTATGGAGGAACAGAGGATATGTTCACATTTAGGTCTAAGCAATGTCTTAGGAGTAAATGAAATTATCACCTGAGCAAAGTGCTTCAGTGTCCAGTTTCCCCTAAATCTAATTTGCAGGTTTTCAGTTGGATGTTACAATGCAAATAACTGACATCAGTGCAGGAGATGATGAAGAATTTACAGAACAGCCTGATGGAATTGATGCCAGCAGTGCTCACATCTTCAGTCAAGAATAAACACAGCTCCCATTGCAGGTCAGGGGATAAAAGGATTTTGATCACCAGGGACTGTGCTTGGGTGGATACTTGCACAGGGTTTGTGCATTAATGTACACACACATTTGGTACATAAATCCCTGCATATTTGCACACAGTTTTCAAGAGCCTGTAGTGCACTTGATCATGCTTTTTTACCAATCTTTCTGGAATAAGGCAAGAAGCTCTTCCTCATTAATTCCAGACTGAAGGCATTGCTTTAAGTTAAATTTCAGTCTGTGGCCAATAAACTACAGCTACCCCTAAATCTTCTCTGGTGTCCACACTGCATAAACCATCCTTCTGCTTCACTTTGTAAAGAAATAAAGTCCTTTTCTCCTTCTCAGGAAGGGTTGGCTCCCCACAGTGAATCATAAGTTGTTTTATTTGTTCATTGCCTTGGGAACCCCATGGATTTGTCAGTGTACCTGGCAGGCTGGGTGACACTGAAGCTTTTTTTGCAATCAACAACCCCCTGGGACTGGGGGAGTGCCCAGCCCCGGCCAGGGAACGAGGGCAGCAGCTCTGTCCTTGTGATGGGACAGGGGGCACAGCCCAGGTGTGCACATGGGACACACAGGATGGGCCAGCCCTGGGCACACTCAGGCTCCTGGGCCCCACATCCCTGGGCTCTGCCATGGACACAGGACCACAAAACCAAAATTCAGTGTGAAATGAGTGTGTGATTGTTGTGGGACCTACAGGCAGCACAGGGAGCAGGTGTGCTCCGGAGTTTAACATCAGAAGTCATCACAGTGAGATGGGGCAGTGGTTTGGGCTGGGGACAGACACTCTCTGCACAGAGCAGTCCCCCACCACGTGGGACAGACAGCACAAACAAGGATTGCATACTTGTTCTTCACTGTAGGAAGTGAACAAAGGCAGAAAAAATGAGCTGCAGGCTCAATAATCCAGCTGGTTCTTTTGGCAGCTGCAAGGGTGCCTCTAATGAACTCTTCAGCAGACATCCAATAGTCAGAGAGAAGACATAAATATGAGAGAGAAGAAATAAATCATCTTTCTTTGGGAAACAACTGGAGAAAGGCAAACCTCCGTCCCTATTGTTTAACTGGCCTGGATGAATGGCTGATTACCCTTGCAACGCAAACACATTTCTCCACTGTAACAACTGCTCACTTCAAACAAGGGGCTGCCTCCTGTCCCTGGGGTGTCCCAGCCATCCCAGCTGCCCTGCAAGGGGTGTTTGCCCTGTGCTGCTTTCTGACACACAAGAAGAGGCTGGGAACACTTGAGGAAGCAGAATGGAAAGGAGGTTTATAGCAGAGGGAGTGGAGGAAGGGGAGAAAAGAGGACAAATCACTGACAGACCTCAGAAGAGATTTATTGAAACTGATCTTTTCTTGCAAGTGAATTCAATACAAGGCACCTGCACTGAATAGCCAAGGAACCCTCTCCAGAGCCCTGGACAGCTCTTGTGCTGAAGCTGCCAAGACAGCATCAGTACTTTTTCCAGCAAAGATTTTCTGTCTGGAACTGAATCCTGCTTCCATTTGCAGGCAAGAAGAAACTCAGACCTCTATTGACCTCACTTAATTTTCTTCAAAAAGGAAGAGATTTTGTTAACACAAAAAACACTTGTAAGATTTAGAAGTAATTGAGTTCAGAGGGACCCCACACCAGCTCTGTCCACAGAAATCTTGCAGCAGGATCCAAATCACAGCCAGAGGATGCCATTTGAAATAAACAACTTATCTCAGTAATTTGCCTTCATACTGCAGGAGTCTGCGAGCACGTCTCACCCTGAAGTGCGAGCAGGGAGCACCTGGGAGCTGTGACAAAGGCAACACAAGCACTTGCAGGAAAAGGTCAGGCTGTGCTGTGGCAGTGACATTTGGGCAGCATCTCCTGAGGCAGAAGCATTTGTGAGAAACCTCAAAAAAACAGCAAAAGGAGATTAAACATGTAAATGCCGCAGGGTGGAATTAGAGAGCTTCCCACATGATTTATAAAAGGAGCAGCAGAACTGCACTTGCCCTGGTTTCAACAGACTGGCCTTTGCCATATTGGACAGGGTGTGAGTTTACACCTGGACAGTTGGAATTGTGCTCTGGCTGCAGGGCTGGGCAATGAGATCATCCCGTGTGTGAGAGCCACCCCTGTCCTTTCACCAGCCCCTGGTTCAGGTGTTCTTGGCACTGATGTGGTCCCAGATGTTGGAGCTCTTCAGTCAGAAGGGCTGTCTTGGATGAGATGGGATT